AGTTTTTCTCTAGCCCAATTCATTCACCACCTCCAAGCGAGCAATGCGTTTCGACACGTCCTCAGTAAAGAGGTGCTCGTACATGTACTTTTGCCCAAGCGTCGGGCTAATCATGTTATCCCCAAATGCAATCGTCACATCGAGTTTGGCATTCCCCGCCCTCTTCAAAGCAGATGTGAGCTCATTGATATCTGTACATATCTGCGTGGCACTCAGCGACCGCGTACCAGAGCCCATAGGACGGGCAGCTGACCCAAACACGGGAGCATTCAGGTCTGCCGGTCTGCGACCCTTGGCACGATGGGTGAGCCAATAGACCTCGGGATCGTTCGTGATCATGAGTCTATTCCACAGTGTGGGTGTCTTGATCGCGACATTGTACCAAAACTTGCAGACGAGGGCGAGGACGCGGGGCGACATGTCGAGAATCTTGACACACTCTGCGAAAATGGTGCCCATGATTTCGATGGGGAGTTTACGCAGGGCCATCACGTTACGATCCTTGAGGTTCTCCTCTTCGAGGGCTCGAATCTTGCGCTTCATCTCCTCCTCGACAAGTCGATATGTCTCCTTAGCTTCTGCTATCCGCATCCGAATCTGGTTGTCCAACTCTGCGACTTGCGCGACGAGCATTTCGCGTTTGGAGACCAGCTCGGCCCGGATGTTCGCAATCTCTTGCTGATAATCTTGTTTGGCCCCGACGATAAGGTTTTGCAAGTCTTGCTTGTCAAAGTTTCGGTTTAGGATCCGGAAGGTGAGGGCTTCCTCTGGTGGTTGCTGGGGCTGCTGTTGGATCTGATTGGGATTGATGGTGCGCGTGCATAGGGGGGCATCGGGGAGGGTGAATTGCCAAAAGGGATCATAGTCGGGATAGTATGCCATTCTGTTCGAGAGATGAAAATGAACATTAGCATTGTTTCAAGGAGAGAAATTTTGGGAGATTAGCTGGGCGTATCAGGCACGGCAAGGGGGTGGTGGTGAATGAATTGGGCTAGAGAAAAACTTCTTGCGCACCAAAAAAGGTAGATACTTTGATTAAAGTCCAAAACTTTAAAAACAGCTGGTAATTGGGAGTGCTCGTCGCCTGGAATTGTTGTAGGGCAGTCTCCCCTCTTCCAAAAGGATGGGTGGTCCCGAAGCGAGAGTGACCAGTAGTTTCACAAAGGCACCCTGCCTTTGTATGTCTCGCTTCAAGGGATCGTGTCGAGGACAAACTTGCGATCAAGTTCTACGTGTCTTGTAGACGACGATCGAACTGGTTTGTCGTTGTGCTTGTGTCGCCGGGGATCGTGGTGTGGTGGCTAGAAAGCAAGCAGCAATGCGCTTGAGCCTGGACGAGACGGCACGCTTCCACCTGCTCCCCTGTGATTCTGTATATCTTCCCACTGGTAAATCCGCTTTCTTTGGGGAGTAGTAGAGATGCGTGCGGGGTATGGAAGAAAGTGCGGGGTGTCCGAGTGTCGAGCGAGGTGGTGGCTAAACACCTAAAAGCGACGGCGCAAGGACGGGTCGGTCAAGGCGAGGTGCAAGAAGGAACAGTGAGCTTGAGTTAAAGAGTATTTAGAGTAAACTTTCTTTATCTCGGATGGTTATCGAGAATGGCATCTCTGGCCCACTGCACCTCCTCACCTTCTTCCCCTTTTCCCAATAATTCCATTCCTAGACGCAATAATAAAAAAACGCCAAAATTCGGAAACGGGCACGTTCTGAGCAGAGTCTCCGCTATAAGAATGGGTCGGGTCCAAGCTTGGAGTTTGTGCGTTTATACCCTTCCCCACATCATAATAAGCAAAACTCGGCGAGTCGAGTTGAGATGCTCGAGTCCACTTCACTCTTGTCCTTGACCACCACTTTGACATCAACTCCGTCTCAACACTGTCATTTCGAGCCATCTGGGGTCCTAGATTACAAGTATGCCGTTGAAACCATGGGTCGCCTTTGAGAATGCCATCCAGTGGACCTACATCTCGGTCTTTGGAGCCTTGATCCTCGCTGGTAGGTTCAATTTCGTCAAGATAGTGTTACAAAGATGATCAGTTTGCTAATTCCTCAATTTTGTCTCTAGTTGTAAGTGACATTATCCGACTAGGCTCATGTTGAGCCAGTTGCCTGCTCTCAATTCCCACGAAACATCACTAACTTACTCTTTTCAACCGTTCAAACTCATATCTCACAGATGGGATACGGTTTCGACCATGAGGTAAGACCACGACACCCCGACGTCTTCACTCGCTCACCAACTTTCTTCAAATCCAGTGGGAAGTATTCACAGGCTCCAAAAACGACCCCGAGAATCCTCACCAAGTTGCATCCGTATGCTACGGAGCGGCCATCTTTTACGCCGTGCTCTGTGCGTTCTGCGGGTGCCAGGTTCGTGTTCTGATCACTCATCCTTCCCCTTGATACTGGGTTCGTTTGCTAATTCTTTTTTTTGTGACGTATAGATTGGAGTCCATAATCGTGTAGCCAAGGGAGGAAACATTCGTCTGTCATAGAACCGGACACGCATCCGTTCCCACTGTACACTCGCACTCTGATGCTTTTGTTTCTATATTATGACATTTATTATCTCTCAAATCTGAATTGCTAAACCTCCTCCTCTCAATCTCAATAGAAGGAACGAACATCCTCAGTGAACCTCGCAAATTACCGCACAGTCCATATCAGGACATTTAGTCTCATACTGCTGTTGATCTGGAATTATGTCACATAGTGAACAGCCTAATAACATACGACTAGGTAGGTAGGATAAAACTACGACAAAAGCGAGGAGGTGGCAGTGATGGCTGTAACAGAGACAAAGGATGACAGCAACAAAATAGAGGAAGAACAGAGAAACAAAGGAAAAGTAAGCGTAGGTGGTGACAGTGACAGGGTAGGTCGTGAATAGGTATTTGGTACGATTTTTAAAGGTGGGGAAATGTTGTATATAGATACCTCGAGAAAAAGAGTCCATGCTGATTGCCGAGCTTTGTGACCAGCATTGTAGAGAGTTCAGATGCTGGTGTAATAAGTAGAGTATCTCTTTTTGCTAGCGGCTATCCAAGTCGCTCTCAGTTTTTGCATATTTCTCTCTCTATGCGTGTCAGGCGCTACGAGAATGAAATGCGATCTCCAACTACTCTGGTGACCAAGCGACGAGGAGTTTCTAACTGGCACCTCATCCCTTCCACCAGAAAACCAGCTATTCGATTAGAATCCCCATGAATGGGTCCAGCTAAAAATCAAGAGTAAGAATACGCGCTAATCAAGATCACGCTTATCACTTACTATGTTATTGTCCAGGCATCCGGGTGCATCCAGTGGCACCGTGGCTCACTCAAGTAAGGGCTATGCGGTCGGCAGAGACACTGAGAAAGGGGAGGAGTACCCGTCCAGAC